TCTAGTAATGGATGCTTTCCTTCCTTAGTTGCTTCCAATGGATACTAACTCAGAGAGGCACAGAGAAGAGAATCTCATAGCATAAAAAATAGTTTGATTAACAGTAGATAAAAAAAATCACAAACTCACCAACTTTGCCTGTGATAAGAGTAGTAGTTCATATATTTTGGGTTTCTACAATTTATACATTATATTTGCATTTGATATATTAATTGAGAATAGTTATGTATTAATCAGACCATGTATGGTGTTAAGGCTCTGAAAAAAACATACTTGTGATAGTCAAAAGTGCTTTAGATTTTCCAACATTCTTAAAAATCCTTGATCATTCGGTGATAAATCCCTTTCCTCCACAGTAAAGGAAACCTCCAGTGCAGCATGATCTGTGTCACATGCAGGGTATCGGTTGTGTTGAGAAGTTTTTTCACTGTTCCTCCGTGTGAGGCTCGGTTCACACTTCCACGACTTGGGATCTGACTTGTGAGACCCCAAGTCGCATGGCATGTGAAATCCCATGTTAGTCAATGAGAGCTGTCCTAATTATCTCTACTAAAGTCGAGCCAACTTTAGAAAAGGTTCACGTACTACTTCAAGGCAATTTCTATCTGACTTGTGCCCATAGACTTTAAAGGAAGTTGCATCCAAGTTGGATCTTTATCTATATTGATGTGATTTGTATCCAACACAGCATTGTGATTTGGATCCAACACATAGTGAGGGCATGTGGGTGTCCTGGTACAGTTCGGGGGGAGGGGGGGTGCTCGCTCGCCCCCCCTTTCCTGACTTGCTGGGCTACATGCTCAAATAAGAGTCTGGCATGGATTATGGGGGGGACCCCACACAGTTTTTTTTTTTTTTTTGTTTTTTTTTACGTTTTGGTGTGGGGTTCCCCTAAAATCCATACCAGACCCAAAAGGGCCTGATGGGGGGGGGGCCCCCACGCATTTTTTTTTTTTTTAAATTGCTTGTATTTACATTCAGCTGTCAGCAGGGAAACCACTGACAGCGGCCGACTTCCCAGCCCTCTCCTTAGCAACCAGCTATCCAGTATTTTGTTAGAATGTCACAACACAAAATTAAATTTAACAAAAAAAACTTATTTTCTAAAAGGTCAAAAAAAAAAAAAAAAAATAGCATAGTTGCATGGCAAAATTATGTATCAAGTCGCGCTCAAGTTGCCAGGAAGTTGTCTGGTCAGGTCGCAGTAGTGTGAACGGAGCCTGAAAGGTGGATTCTAGTTGTTATGGGCAGCACACTTGCTTTTGAAACACCTTTATATATACATACTACCTACATACACGCACAAAACAGTGGGCTGTGTCTTTTTTAGTTTATTTATGTTTTTTGGGTTTCTCTGCACCTCCTCTGATGTTTGCAGTCCTCACACTATCAGTAGTAGTTTGTTTCTAAATATAAATAGCCTCATCCTCCAGCTCTTTTATGTACTCCTCCAGGAGGCTGTCTGAAGAAGCAGACTTTTGGAATCAGAATCATATTTCTAACAAATACTTTTATAAAGAATAAACATCAATTTATGCTTAAGGCCTTTGTATTTACTTCAATAAAAAACATCATAGCCATAAGGGCTTATGGAAGAGGAGGGGATAAAGAAAAAAAGGATATACTATAGAATCTGTGAATTAACGATTAAACATGATTAGCTGCTTAGGGCAATCCCTTTTATGCTCCAATTTTCATGGCTCCACCTTTGACACATCAGAACAAAAGAAGAGTTGAAACCTAACTGTGCAGTGGAGAATTACTGTCAAATTGCAGGTTCTTGTGCCTCTATTGTTAAAGCAGTCTGTGTTTAATGTAGTTCTGTTCCCATTAAGCACACTGCTGGTAGGCAATACAGCACATGGCATGTCATGGCATCTAAAAGGAGGACTAGATGGAGCTAAAAGGAGGACTAGATGGAGCCCAAAAAAGGCAGGGCAGAGGGCCAAGGACTAGTATCCAGGATTGCCTGTGGTCTCCCTGAAAGTGATCTTTGCACATTACTAACTTACCATGCTTTATTCTGCACCGTGTCTCTGTGTGGAGGTGGCCATCTTGGCAGAAGCAGGGTTTTTTCTTCATCAAAGCCTCCAGCAAGGAGAACTGTGAGCAGTACAGTAGAGACCTCACTGTATCTTACTCTGAACTCTCTGAAGCAAGATGTTAGAGGCAGCAATGCCTTAGATCTCGCACTGCAGATGTAAAGCTATGAGGTTGTAGCAGTTCAATTCCGATTGTTTAGGGGGAATTAAAATTAAAATAAACCTTTTAAGAGTACTGCTTAGGTACAATTAACATTTCTGCAAACTTATTAAATGTTCACTTTTTGAGTTCAGTTCCACTTTAAACGTCATAGAAAAGCCGAGGTATTCATCTTTTTCAAACCTCCAAACTCATTTGAGATGAGAGACATATTTTAGCACAAAATATGTAGACAAAAGCCACGCCCCCAATTAAGTAGATCATGAATTAAAAATTGGTTGGTAAAAACTCACCAGTGCTTTTTTCACCATTATCTTTTCCTTTATACTGCTTTGGGTTTTTTGGGGGTTTTTTTAAAAATTGATTACAGATTGGATGAATTGATGGAAATATGTATTCAAGATGTTTTGAGTTCTTTTATTGGGGAGGGTTTTTTTTATGAAGAAATTGTACCTGTACCTATACTTTTGCAAATATAAAGATAAAAAATTAGTCAATGATGGCTAGGTCAGGTTATTTCTGATTGGTTACTGCACTCTCCAAATAGCCCTTACTATTTGCATTGTTCCTAAACCAGTTCACGATGGCTGTACACATATATGCAGCCTCTCAGCGGGTGGGCCTGAACACCGAACAGCTGCATATATGCAGCCCTGTATAAACAACTCACTGTGCTGACAGAGCACTCCCTGCGCACTCCCAGCATGGAAGCCGAAAGGGATTGGTAAGCTCCTGATGCATACTTGCCATCGGGAGCTTTCCGATCTTGTGACAGCCAATCACAGCGGTCACATGACCCGAATGCCCACCTCCACCTCCTGGCAACTAGAAGCTCTTAAAGGGCCAGAAGAAGATGGTGCAAAGGGGTTAAAATCTTTGTTTAGTTATTTTTCAAATGCTTGTTCCATGGCATAACAATAGCTATAGCATCCCACAAGCTGCCATCAGGTCCAGGGCTTTTTTTCAGCAGGAACGTGGGGGAACGCAGCTCCAGCATCTCTAGCACTAAATGTATGTATTGGCAAGGGATGCTGGGGTGTGCTGGAAGGTCTATTGATGCTGTATGCTAGGGGATTTATTGTCACTGGAGGAGATCCTTTTTTTGCAAGGGGGTATATTGCTGCTATTGGGGGGATATATTGTTGCTGGGGGTCAATTGTTGCTGACAGGGATCTACTGAATGTTCAACTATGCCAGGGGTCATCGGCTCACCACTACATTTTATCTAGCCCACAGCTAGAGTCCTCAGGCTCACTGCATTACTAGCCTCCACTTGCCACTGCACTGCCACAAACCCACTACCTGCTGGCCGTATGCAGGCCAAGTCCCTGCAACCCACCCCAGCGCTGCGAGTGGAAGTAGTTGCTAGGACCATCTGCATCCCAGCAACCAATAATGTGTTCAGTGCCACCTCCCAGAAGGCTCCGATGTGGAGGAGACTCTGATGGGGATACAGTTGTGGGTGAGACTGATTGGGGACACAGATGTGGGGGAAAACTAATGGGGACACAGATGCGGGGGAAACGGATTGGGGACACAGATGTGGGGGGGACTGATGTAAGTTCCCCATTACATCTGTGTGGTCCTCAAATTCCCCCTTTACATCTGTGTCTCCCTCAGATTCCCCCTTACATCTGACATAAATAACTGATTTTTTTCAGCCCAGCACCCCTGTATCAACCAGCGACTGCTGCAGGGGAGAAGAGGGAGTGCCAACAATGGATGGGCCATAGGAGCCTATTGGTAACATTGGTAACATTCCAAGCCATTGTTGAGTGCTCTCCTCCCTGTAGCTGCTTGCTGACACAGGGGAGATCATGTGACAGGACCAGAGCAGCCTAAAATAGGTAAGCATACACATCTTTCTAACACAGGTTAGTCAGCATAGGTGTTGGGGATGGGAGCATGTTTAAGATCAGTTAGGTATAGCCTGGAATTCTATTTAATTCCCTGCACTGATGCCTTCCCTCTTCCTGACAATTTATATGCCACTGGTACCTAGAAATGTACTGACAGGTCTCCAGCTACCTGTCCTTGATTTAGACATATTTAAGCAGAATTCCAGGCAGAAAACAAATCATACTATGCAATGGGGCTGTGCCACAAGCCACTGCTCGTTTATGTCTGGGGGTGATAAGAGCAAAAATATACTTACCTAATCTGCCGATCCTCCAAGTGCAAGATTCTTGTGAATGAACTGTTCCAGACATCACTCCCATAGAATGGCTCCAGGCATGAGGACAGCAGGAACAGTCCATTGCTGGACGTGGGGGTGAGAAGTTTTTGGGAGGTTTTAAGGACATGGTAAGTATAGCCTTTTGGGGGCCCACTGGACAATAGCAGTTAACCCTTGCAGTGCGGGCACAACCCCACTGCAAGGGACAAGAAAAAATGTACATGGAGTGCTGCTTTTAGATCAATAACAGAAGGGAGGTTGCCAGGGAACCCCATTAATATTTTGCTATAGGGTCCCATGATCTCTAGTGATACTCCTGCTTATGTTGCATCTCATTACAAATCCTTGCATCAAATAAACGATTTTGTCCACCTCACCTAATGTCTCGCCAGCATTAGTAGTGATCCCGGACTGCAAGACTAGAAAATGTAAAATGTATGTAAACCATAAAACTAGTGGCCAAGATGTACAAATCCTTTGACAGATAAAAAAAAGTAAATAACTGTAGTTTATTTGGCTCTTTGCTTGCAATTTCTATTTAATAAGCAATACTTTTTAAATCTGAAAATCTTAAAATAACCAGTCACCTGAATTGTAATGGTGTTCTGCTCTTCCTCCACAGGGGCTCAGATGCATTGAGTACAGTCTCAGGTAACAGAAATACCACCGTCACTTTCACCGTCCGTCCTGGAGCAAACCAGCCAATCATGCTACAGAACAGGACGCCCGAATATGACAGCAGGATAGTTGGTATGAGGCGAGCGCCCAGCCCTGTAGTATCTCCTGCTGAGATTGCAAGAGATATCAAGCCTGGTCCACTGTCGGCCCCACCCACCTCCATCTCTGATGTCTTTGTTCTACCAACGCCTCCCCCTAGCGGGGACCTCTTTGGGATGAGTATGGGGAGAAGCAGGTCCCCCTCCCCGTCTATTTTACAACAGCCAATCTCCAATAAGCCTTTTTCAGCAAAGCCTGTCCATCTGTGGACTAAACAAGATGTTGCCGACTGGTTGGAAAGTCTACACCTGGGCGAGCACAAGGAGATGTTCATGGACAATGAAATAGATGGAACCCACCTACCAAACCTTCAGAAAGAAGATTTGATAGATCTCGGAGTCACAAGAGTAGGACACAGAATGAACATAGAACGAGCATTAAAACAGCTTTTGGACAGATAGAAGTACCTTGCCCTTGCTTCTTCAGAATTTTGTTTCCTGACAGTTTCTTAACGGGGTCCTTAAATACAAAATTTAGAAAAAAAATCTTTACTGCAAGTTTAAATAGCTGTACAGATAATTTATAAGCACAATATTTTAAGGAGATAAGTGGCTGGTCTACTGGGCAGCCTTTGTGCCACTATAGTTTGTAGAAAGAAAATGGAAAAAAACACTTTTGTGATTTAATATAATACTATTTCTGTGGAATAATTATTTGGAAAAAAAAATAAAAACTTAGTTCAGCCTTTTTAAAGAAAAAGAAAAAAATCAGCCTCATTTGAATGCACATGAACCAGCTGAGCTGTGTTGTATTTTCTATCTTTCTAGAACTTCTTCAAAGAAGAATAGAGCTTTTCTCTTCAGCAGTGGGTAATGGATAATGCAGTGGGTACTGCAAATGTAGGAAATTTCACTGACACCCCCTTATGGAAACAAAGTCATTTATCCCTGTACAGTGTCAGAGGGACATGCTGTTTTTGGCCTGGGCAACCACGGCCCTTCTCTGAGACTGGACAGGGGTCTTGATCTTACATGTTCTTCTTTTGCAGGTACTAATTTGTATCCAGGTTCATATTTATCGTTGTAATAATAAAAAAAAAACTAAGAAAAAAAACAAAACCAAGCAAAAAGGTGTTTTATTTGAGAGTATTTCTGGTTGTGTTTCCATAATCAGCTGGGTGAGACTGTACTAAATCCACTAACATTTTTTTTTTCTTTTTGCAATCCATTATCTTGTAGTGGAAAGCTCACCTTATTACAAAGTGTACACAATGGTTTTTTAGCCATCATTGTCTTCCACTTGGTGATAATTTCAGAATTAAAACTATCAAGCAGAAAGGCCATGCTAGTTTTCTTTTTCTATTGAATGCATATGGTATTACCTCTTGATATGTGCCAGGAAGCTGTTGCAATCTGCTTGTGATTCAGTCGTCGTTGGTGAACAAGACCGTTGCAGACTAGAATCATTTGTGTGAAAGTGGATCCTTCAATAGTGAAAGTGGGCTCTTTTGTGAGGCCTTATTAATTTGAGCAAACAAAAGCTTCAGATAGCCACAACTTGGAGCCCAACAATTTTGCTTGCATTAAGGCTTGCAAGACCACTTCCAATCACCTCTGGTAATTGGGTGCGATCATACATACACAGCACCTCATGTGTATGACGCATGTCTATCACAGAGGTAGATGCGGGCTACCTTGCGCACTTCAATACTTAATGGTTGTGGAGCACTAAGCTGCATCTGATTTGTTTTATTTTCCTGTCTAAATGAAGCCTACATTGAAGTGATATTCACTGTACTGAATGACTAGGACTAGCTCCCAGCAACTCTGTGGCTGCCCCCATTGTGCCTGAGTGCCCAGTGCACTTAAAAACAGTGAGGGCTTTGGTCCCTGAATGGTTGTGTATTTTCTTTTGTTTTCTTTGCTTGAGTATACTTATTTTCGGGCACCTGACTAAAAATATGTATTTACTAGAAATAAGATGAATGGTTAAAGAGCTAACTAAATAGTAGTATATTTTTACACGGTATCTTATTGAAAGGGTGTATAGGGTGGAAGTTTGTCCATATTTGCTATTTTTAAAAAAAAAATGCCATAAAAAAACTTAGTACAAGAACCTATGTGCTGCCGGTTCTGTAGAGTTTCATCCAGAAGTTATAAGGATGGCCCTGAACAAACAGGAACCTACAGCAAGGTGTTTTTAAAGTGTCAAAGATCAATGACCTGCATTGGTTCTAGACTGTACAGTGGTACAGACATGGTAGCGTTGCGTTTCATGCTACTTGGGGATTTTAGGCTTAGAACTTTTTTTGTTACATAGTGTAATTTAAGAGAGTCTTTTTTCTTGACATATCTAGTTTATGTAATTTTCTGTGTATACAAACACCAAAATTTTACAAAAAAAATTAATCTTGTAAATTGTGTAAAACTTGCACAGCTGCCAGTGCTGGGGAATTCTGCAATTCTCCTTTTATTATATAATTATACAAATGACTACATGTGACTGTTTATTAACTATATCACAGAGGACCTCTTTTTTCCTTTTTTTTTTTATATATAATTCTGTGATACCTTGTTTAATTCAATTCTGTTCTTTGAAACCTTCATGATCTTAATTCGGTCAAAACCATGTCAGAGCCAAAACTCACCACCTAAGTCCCACCCTGCACCACCAACATTTTTTTTTATTTTTTTTTTTTTTTTTTTCAAAGTGAGTCTGTTTCTCTCTCTAGTTTTGTGTTACAGCCTGTGTTCATGTTGTTAATGTTGCTGTATTTTTGTGCTTTTAATTCCAATGATAAAGAACAAATTATAGGAGAAAACAAAATCAAGCTACTGTAATTGCACTTTTCCAAATCCTCAAAACTACTGTATGGCAACCAAATTACTGTAAGAAAAAAAATAATAATATTGCACTAAGATTGTGGCTCTGATTGCAGACTTAAAACAAAATGTTCTGTACGGAATCAATAAAATGATAAGATGTTGCCAATTCCTGAACTGAGGCTTTCAAATTGTATTGAAAAAGCACTGTAAGTGCAGCCTTGACAAATGCATATTATTCTACTCAGAGATGTACCAGTCATTAAAGGAGATTTACAAATAAGGAACAATTCTCTTCATTTTTCTTCAGCTTGAACTGTATTTGTGTTACAATTTCTACATTCACCCAAGGGAGCAAAGTTTGCCACTTCTAATGAAAGGAAAAAAAAGGGGTCATAACCAAACTGTTTTGTGTTGTGAAACCAATGCAAACCAGGACCTTGCCATTTATTAAGTAACCATACAAATAAAACTCAGTCTTTTGATATATTCAAGGACACTTGAATCCTGTAAGCCAGGACCCTCTTCCAGATTGGATGATGCTCCACATCAATGGTCTGCAAACTGGGGGCTAAATTAGGCCCCTTTTTTGCCCAATAATGGCACATTTCCTCCCACTGATACCAACAATGGGGCACTATTCATCCCATTAAAAACAATGATGGGGTATTGCTTACTCCCATTGACTGCAGGGCATGTTCTACTCCTACCAACCAGTCTGGCCCCACTAAAGGCTGAAGGGCAGTAAACTGGCCCTCTTGTTTAGAATGTTTGGTGACCCCTGCTTCAGGTCATTCAACTCACTTCTTGTGGGCCCTGGAAGCCATAGGTACACCCGCTGGGGGCATGTCATCATTGCAGCCCAGGCTCACGGGAGAGTGCTACAGAGAGAGGCTGAGGGACGGGTGCATCTAACTGATGGATGTTGCACTTTGAATTTTGCTTTGTTTACATTTCAAGTGTCTGTACTGTGCAGTGTAGAGGGTAACATCCTGCAGACCAGGACTAAGAACAACAAAACGCCATCTGTTCCAGATACTTACAGTCAGGTCCATAAATATTGGGACATCGACACAATTCTAACATTTTTGGCTCTATACACCACCACAATGGATTTGAAATGAAACAAACAAGATGTGCTTTAACTACAGACTGTCAGCTTTAATTTGAGGGTATTTACATCCAAATCAGGTGAACGGTGTAGGAATTACAACAGTTTGCAAATGTGCCTCCCACTTGTTAAGGGACGAAAAGTAATGGGATAATTGGATTCTCAGCTGTTCCATGGCCAGGTGTGTGTTATTCCCTCATTATCCCAATTACAGTGAGCAGATAAAAGGTCCAGAGTTCATTTCAAGTGTGCTATTTGCATTTGGAATCTGTTGTTGTCAAGATGAGATCCAAAGAGCTGTCACTATCTGTGAAGCAAGCCATCATTAGGCTGAAAAAAAAAAAACAAACCCATCAGAGAGATAGCAAAAACATTAGGCATGGCCAAAACAACTGTTTGGAACATTCTTAAAAAGAAGGAACGCACCGGTGAGCTCAGCAACACCGGAAGACCACGGAAAACAACTGTGGTGGATGACCGAAGAATTCTTTCCCTGGTGAAGAAAACACCCTTCACAACAGTTGGCCAGATCAAGAACACTCTCCAGGAGGTAGGTGTATGTGTGTCAAAGTCAACAATCAAGAGAAGACTTCACCAGAGTGAATACAGAGGTTCACCACAAGATGTAAACCATTGGTGAGCCTCAAAAACAGGAAGGCCAGATTAGAGTTTGCCAAACGACATCTAAAAAAGCCTTCACAGTTCTGGAACAACATCCTATGGACAGATGAGACCAAGAACAACTTGTACCAGAGTGATGGGAAGAGAAGAGTATGGAGAAGGAAAGGAACTGCTCATGATCCTAAGCATACCACCTCATCAGTGAAGCATGGTGGTGGTAGTGTCATGGCGTGGGCATGTATGGCTGCCAGTGGAACTGGTTCTCTTCTATTTATTGATGATGTGACTGCTGACAAAAGCAGCAGGATGAATTGTGAAGTGTTTCGGGCAATATTATCTGCTCATATTCAACCAAATGCTTCAGAACTCATTGGACGCCGCTTCGCAGTGCAGATGGACAATGACCCAAAGCATACTGCAAAAGGAACCAAAGAGTTTTTTAAGGGAAAGAAGTGGAATGTTATGCAATGGCCAAATCAATCACCTGACCTGAATCCGATTGAGCATGCATTTCACTTGCTGAAGACAAAACTGAAGGGAAAATGCCCCAAGAACAAGCAGGAACTGAAGACAGTTGCAGTAGAGGCCTGGCAGAGCATCACCAGGGATGAAACCCAGCGTCTGGTGATGTCTATGCATTCCAGACTTCAGGCTGTAATTGACTGCAAAGGATTTGCAACCAAGTATTAAAAAGTGAAAGTTTGATTTATGATTATTATTCTGTCCCATTACTTTTGGTCCCTTAACAAGTGGGAGGCACATATGCAAACTGTTGTAATTCCTACACCGTTCACCTGATTTGGATGTAAATACCCTCAAATTAAAGCTGACAGTCTGCAGATAAAGCACATCTTGTTTGTTTAATTTCAAATCCATTGTGGTGGTGTATAGAGCCAAAAATGTTAGA